ACAGTAGGCCATCCTTTCTTGCCCACACTGTTTCTGGTGAGGTCTGTCCACCTTGTTTGCATGCTCTCATGGATCCGTGGTCACCTCATGTTGAAGCATTAAGAGGGTATTAGCACATTGGAAGTAAATACTAGTTGCTTAAGTCAATCCTCAGTTTTCATAATGATCATAACTGGGATTCCACCAAACTGGCAATTCCTTTAGGCCCAGAGCCCAACAGCTTGTGAGCCAGTGAGCTTGTGGGGCAGTGTGCCAGTGGATGAGATCATCTCAACTAGGCTTCCTTCCTAGAGTTTGCCAGTAGCTTCTGCTGCTCAGCCAGCAGTGACTTCAGCTGGTCTCATGCTAGCTGGGGTGAGCCTGCCCTGGCCTGATTTTCATGGTAACCTCAACTGCAGAGGCATAGCCTGCTATCTTCTGGAGACTCTAAGGCCACTTGAGCTGCCCAAGCCATGAGTATTCTTTGTCAGGGCCAAAGTGAATGCTACAGGACAGGGTAGGTCACTGGGCTGTCATTGAGGTATGCCAGGCCCCTGTGGGAGTCCCATGTGTCAGGATAAATGGAAAACATAAAGTGGGGTCCTTGAAGCAGAAAAATCATTCAGCCAAGGTTACCTAGCCTTTAAGTGATAGACCTGAGATTTGAACCCTGAGTTCAGAGCTCCTGTAAAGACCCTGTGTGGTGCTTTCCATTGCCAGGCCTTTCTTTCCACTGGAACAGTGAATGGGCTGCACTACCTCACTGGAGAGAGAAGGGATCTCATCTAAGGTTTGTAGGCCTGCCCCTTAACCCCTATTCGTTTCTTATGAAGCCTTGGAGTCTCACCTTACAAGTGAGGGCAGAGCCCTTTGCTGAGTGAGGCAGAGAGTTCAGTCAGCTGTCTGGTCCCCAGCCTGGGTTTCACACATGGTGCAAGTCGTCTGTTCTTTTTGTCTGTCAGCCCACCATTGCAACAGCAGCTGTAAAGAAAGTGCTGTGCAGCTATACTGTTCTACCTACAAGGTCACTGTTCCCAAATACTGGTATATGAAGAGGCATGGGCCAAGAGTCCAGAGCAGCAGGACAGGCTCTGGAGTACAGGGCTAATTCTCAGTGTTCCTCTGTGCAGAGCAGCCCACTTGGAAGAGCCATTGTTTCAGCATTTGGGAACTAGTTGCCATGAACATGCTGCTGCTCAGGCAATGGCTTCTGTGTGGCATCAGCAAAATTCTCTGCCTGCTCACAACTAAATCTCATATGGCAAGTTTGAGACATTACTGATAAATCATGTCCAGAGTTTCTGAAATGATAATATGGACGGTTGAGTTCCATGTATGCTTACTGTGTGCCAGGCAGGCATTGGTTGAAGCACTTGGCATATACTAACCTATAGAATCACCCTGACAGTTTTGTGAAGTGAACACTATATTATCATAGTTTTACATTAGGGAAACCGGAGTGTAAATAATTGTGGCATTTGCACAGGCTCTCAGAGCAAGTAAGTGGCAGAACAGAATTTCAGCTCTGACACCCTGATCTTCCAGAGTCTAGACGTTCAGCTTTGTGGAAATGACTATATTTTGTTGCAAGTTTGCCCACCAAACAGTTCATGAAAGTCATCCTAGTGAGTCCCTGGGGACTGCCAAGTAAATGCTAATACAGCAGTCAACAACAGCTTTTTAAGGTAATTGAGTATAGGATTGGAGGGCCTTGGGGGGACTTTGTCTGCCTTTAAACCTGTCTGTGTCTCCAGAAGCCATTGTGTCATGACCTTTCTGAGAAAATACATGGCTGCATTTTTATAAGTGGGGTAAGGACATACAACAAGTGAATGACACAGAAGAATTTGAACTTAGCTATCTTGGTTCTAGTTCATTGAACTTCAGATACACAAGTTTAAGCCAAAACAAAGGTTTTTTTAATGGCTTTATCTCCATTTATTATTATTATTATTATTATTATTATTATTATGGGGCTGGGGTTTGAACTCAGGGCTTCATGCTTGCAAAGCAGGAGCTCCCACTTGAGCCACACCTCTAGTCCATTTTTTTTTTCTTATGATTAAATCCAGGGCCTCATGAATGTAGGCAAACACTCAGCCACAGAGCTACATCACCAGACCCATTTCAGTCCAATTTTGCTCTGCTTATTTTTGGAGATGAGATCTTGCAAACTGGCCTCAAACCACAAGCCTCCGATTTCAGCCTCTCAAGTAGCTAAGATTGCAGATGTGAGATACTGGCTCCATTTATTATTTACAATACCTCTTTTTAACTTTTTTGGGGGGGGAAGGGGCAGTACTAGGGTTTGAACTCAGAGCCTCACACACTGCTAGGCAGATGCTGTACCATTTGAGCCACTCTGCCAGTCCCAGTACCTCTTTTTTTAAATGTAGTTTTTGCCTTACAGTTAGTAGAATAGCTCTTGGGGATTTTTGTTTGTTTGTTTGTTTGTTTGTTTGTTTTGGGTTTTTTGAGGCAGTGTCTTGCTTATGTAGCCCAAGCTGACCTCAAACTTGAGATCCTCCTGGTTCTGCCTCCTGAGTTCTGGGATTACAGGTGTGCCCCCACCACACTTGTCAAGAAGGTATTTTATATTTGCCGTCACTTTATTTCTAGAGAACTTCATTTCTCTATGTAGATCCAAGTTTCTTTCTAATTTCTTTCTTTTTTTTTTTTGACATTACTGGGATTTGAGCTCAGGGCCTCATGCTTGCTATGCAGGTACTCTTCCACTTGAGCTATTCCACCAGCCCTCTCTCCCTGATTTCATATTCATTCTACCTGAGGAACTGCCTGTAACATTTCTTACAACACAGATTTACTGGTAATGAATCCACTGAGTTTTGGTTTTCTTGTGGGTGTGGGGGAAGCGGTTGCTTCTCCTGCATTTTGGAGGAGAGATTTTTAATGACTATAGGAGTCTAAATTGACTCTTTTCTTTTGGCACTGTAAAGATATTACGTGATTTGCATAATTTCTGATAGGAAGTTGACTGTAACTTTTAACTTTGTTCCTGTATATGTGGTATGTCTTTCTTTAACTACTCTTAAGATGATATCTGCATCTTTGGCTTTTAGCAGTTTGAATATGCTCAGGTGTGATCCCCCCACCCCCCACCCTTAATGTGTGTGGAGGGATCTTTTCCTTGCTTGGTGTTCTCTGAGATTTTTTGTGATTTGATATCTTTCATTAGTTTTGGAAATTTCTCAAGTCATTATGTCTTTTAATTTTTTTTTTTTTTTTATATTGGGATCAAATTCAGGGCTAAGCGAGTACAATAGTCATTGTCTTAAAATATTTCTTCTGTTCTCTTTCTCCTTTATTTTCTGTAACTCCAATTAGTAGGGTAGATCATTTGGATGTTCTTTTGCTGTGTTCTGAGTTGAGTTCCCCCAATCCTCCAACTCTTTCTTTCTTGGTTTGGATTATTTCTATTGACCTAGTTACACATTTTGATCTCTCCCTTCAACAGTTGTGTCAAGTCTTCTGAGAAGCCTGGCAAAGACATTCTTCATCTCTTTTACTGTTTTATTTCTAGCGTTTCTAGCTTATAGTTTCTCACTCCTGAAATTCTCCATTTGTTTGTAGGTGATATTCATATTTTCTATTACAACCTTTAACATACTAATCATATTTATGAATCATATTAATCTTAGTTATTTTTAATTCTCCATCAGGTAGTGCTGACATCTGGATCATCTCTGAGTCTGGTTCTGTTGATTGTTTTGTCTGTCTGTCTCTTTATATATATATATATATATACACACACACACAAACACTTTTCTTGGTATATGTATGTATGTGTGTTATAATTTTTACATTGAATACCAGATACCATGTATAGGACCAAAGAAACTCAAATAAATATCATTTATGCCTGGAATGGGCTTCCCTCTTCTATGCCTTTAACAGACGTTGAACTGGGTTGGAATTTGTTGTTGCTCTTTACCTTCAGTGCACCACAGGCTTCATATTCCTCTCATGTTACCTTGTGCTTAGAAGTAGGGACTGGTTTACCTCAAGATTTTACCTTTTGATTTAGGCCTTTGTGTGCACATCAGGGAGGGTCTCCCTGCCTGGTCTTGCCCCCTCTCTGCAGTAAGCTGCTCTGCTTGCTACTCAGTGTTTGCCAACCTGGGGTATGGGCGGAATGTTTCTCAATTGTTTTGGTCCATACTCATACTTAGACAGGCTCTGTGTCCTTGTATCTTAAGTGACTTTTTCAGTGATCCTATTCTTTCTTAGTGGTAGGTTTCGTATCCTTCCTTATGGTAGAATAGTTTCTTTTTCCTTTCCCTGTACCCTGGAGGCAGTAAGATCTGCTGCCCTTCTCCTAACCTGGAAACTGCTGTCCCCTAGGAAAGAAGGGCCCAAGCATGCTTCAGGCCTTTCCCATAGCAGCTCCATTCTTTCCCTCCCTGCCCTGCCCCTAGTCTTTCTTCTGAGTGCCTTTGGAGATCTGGAGAGAGTAGCCAGGGAAAGAGTACACAAGAGTCTAGACTCTTGTTCTAGACCACATATATCTGGCTTTTAACAACAGGTTAAAAAGTTTTGCTGAGTTCCTTCCCACTTCAGTTGTTTGTACTGTGGCTATATGGTAAAAACACTACATAATGGTGGCTACTGTGTATCTCTTCTCAACTCCACATTCACCAACAACATTCTGGTAGCTTGAAGTCAGCAATGGTGAGAATATTTATGCCATGAACATCAGCAAATGCTACAATTCAGGGCTTGTTCCTCCCCCTAGGGGGCCAATTATTGAACATTTGCAAGAGCACCACTATCTAGGGAAACCCTAGAAAGGTTGGGCATGGAGATTGGTGCCTTTATGGAGTGGCTCAGGAAGCCTCCAGGATGGGTTGGGCTTGGCAGGTCAGAGTGACTGTGCTCAGGCCATCTCCTTTGCAAGACAGTCCCCAGGTCACTGTCATGGAGACTTGCCCTGGGGAGTTCCCTCCATGTTGGAGGTGGTGTGGGTTCATCCTCCTGCCTTCTTTCCCTCCTTCTTCCCTCAGACCGAAGCCAAGACAGCACAGCCGTGGCACTCTCAGACTCCAGCTCAACGCAGGACTTCTTTAATGAGCCTACCAGCTCACTGGAGGGCTCCCGGAAGCCCTTTGCAGAGAAGAGGCTGCCTGTGCTCAGTGCTCAAACAGGACTGACTGGTAAAGACCTTCAGGGGGCCACAGAGGAAAGAGGTATGAAAATCTCAGTGAATTAGAACTACTTTGATGTCCCGTGGCAGTCTGGGGAAAGCTGAGGACCACAAGCTTGGGTGAGGCCTATGTCTGGCCTGTATTCTGTCCTTTTGCCTCTGCCTGCTGCCCTGGGACCTTGGTTGGGCAATTCCTCACCTCTCAGGGCCTCTGTTGTTCTCCTTGTAGGATGGGAGTGAGCCCAGTGCCCACCCAACTCCATGTTCACCTACAACATAATAGTAGCTAACCCAGGGTTGTGAGAATTAAACAAGACAGCTCCTAAAGATGTTAGCACAAAGCCTGGTGCACCAAGTGTACTCAGTGTCACTTGTCATTATTGTTATGACCCCCATAGCCCATCCTGGAAAAGGATATCCCTATTTTTTCTTTTCTTGGTAGATGGTTATTCTAAAAAAATTCTTGGGATTCAAAATGTCACAAATGTATTTTCTTTTTAGTCTGAATCATATCAGGCCTCTAGGAAAAAAAAAATATCCCTTTTTTAGATAATGGGCCTTGATTTAAGCCCAGGATATTCCCAGCTTTCTTAGGGTAGCCCCCTTGGTGAAAATCAGTGGGCAGAGTCCCAACTCTGGGCTTGCTAGGAGTCTGCAGGCAGGCTGAGGCATTCTGAGGCTGTGGTTGGTCAAACATGGATTTTGAAAACTTTCCCATTGTGGCCAGAGCCAAGCATACAGGTACTTGCTACACAATAACCACCCAGACCCATGCTTGGTTGTCTTGTGCCAGCCACTGCTTTAACTCATTTGGTCCTCCCAATAATCCTAGGAAGAAAGTGCTATGACTATTACCATTTTAAAGTAAAGAACCAGATTCAGAGAGGGTCGGAATTTGCCTGAGGTCACCCTTAGCCACTACTCTATACAGCCTCCCCAGGTGGGCTGGATGGGGGAAATAAACTATATACTCTGGGGTCGCAGCCCAGCCTCAGCAAGTTGCCATGCAGGCCCTGGATGGAGGAACAAGAATTGAGAATTTTCCTATACATGTGTCAGTAGGACTAGAGCCATTTGCAGCTCTACTCCCTACTAGCTCCCTCTGACCAGCCTTTAAAGAAGGGATAGTCATCATCCCCTATAGGTTGGAGGTGTCCCCCATCAGGATCAGGTGCAGGTGCATGGAACCCAGGATAGGCAGGTAGATTTACCTGTACCTGGTCCTCATCAAGAAATGAGGCCAAAGTTATGTATGATGGTACACACCTGTAATCCCAGCAATTGGGAGGCTGAGGCAGTAGGATTGTGAGTGTGAGGGCAGCCTGGGCTACGTGGTGAGTTCCAGGCCAGCCTGGACTGCATAGTGAGACAATGTTTTTAAAAATCCCACTTTCTTACCAAGCAGTCATTATGCTATCCCCAGGCAATGTTGACATCCTATAAATAACATAAACACACTGTAGGAAATTTGGAATGGGAAGGAAACAAGTAATACGCTCTCAACACTCTAATACAGCATTTCTAGTCTTAAGAGTAAGATTTTATTTTTGCTCTTAGACAAGTGAGACCAATCATCTGTGCTCTGTGGCCCGTCAAACAGTGAACTATTAAGGATGCTACTGTCATCATGGGTTTCTCTCTACCATATGTGGGGTGGGGGACCTGGGAGATGTGGGGACTAGGTTGAGAGCAGGTTGCCTTTGGTCTGCCCTATCCTGTCCAGACTCTTCTAGACTTAGGAGGAGCATCCTCCCTCATCCATTCAGAACTGATGGTTTAAGCAGATGGTGTGTATAGTTTACCATTGATAAAGAAAGTTATGACAATAGCTGATAGGCTTGAAATAAAAGCATCTTGCTTTTATAGACATGATAAGCCTGGCTTTTCCTGGTAACTGCAGTGATAAAATTGATGAACTTCTTTTGGGTAGAAGTAGGTGTAGCAAGGAATGTATTCTGAGCCCACTTTCAGGAGACAGACAGTGCCAGGTGCCTGAGAAATCTTCTAACTTGATCTTGATCAGTGGTATTCTCCAACATGCCCTCCCCTGGGCTTCCAGTAGATAGCATTCCTGGCACCATAATCTCTAGAGCTTGAGCCTTTTTTTTTTCTTTTCGTTTTTTTTCTTCTCTTCAGAGATCTCTTCAGTGCTTGAGATCAAACCCAGGACCTCAAGCATACTAGGCAAGAGCTCTACCACTGAACTGCACCCCTAACCCTTGAACAGCTTTCAGCTTTCGTGAGAAAGCCAGGACTGTGGGCCATCACTGAGTGTATGCCCTATGTGTGTTCCATGACCCTCACTTCCTAGGCACATCCTTGTGAGTCTTCCTGCCACCAACGTGCTGCTTCATCTGTGGTTATTTCATGGGTCATAGACCCTTGCTCATGCCTTTTGTGTCCATTATAGAGTATCAGGAAATAATAGGTCAAGGTCTGCACCAGGCATTGGGTTCCAAAGGGATAGGGAAGAATCTGCCCACCACACTCTTCGGCGAGCCACTCTTCTTCAAACCATGTCCAGCTTGTCTCACTTCCCAAGGACTGGCCCCACTCCTTTAGTTCTCCAGAGGCCATCCTTCTGCACACTGATCTGCACCAGTGTTTGAGGAAAGACTTTTGCAGAGGTGACTGCTGCAGCTGCTAAAGCTCTTTTTTTCTTCTTTTTGGGGGTACTAGGGTTTGAAGTTAGGGCCTCATGCTTGCCAAGCAGACATTCTACTACTTGAGCCACTCTACCAGCCCTCTTTGTGTTAGGTATTTTCGAGATAGGGTCTCATGAACTATGCCTGGGCTGGCTTCAAACCATGATCCTCCTGTTCTCTGCCTCCCAAGTAGCTAGGATTATAAGTGTGAGCCACTGGCATGTAGCTAAAACTCATCTTCACAGGTATCAAGATTTCAAAAACCTGTCCAGAATGTGAAGATAGCAAAGATTTGTGGGTTTTTTTGTTTGTTTTTTAAAGAGAGAAAAACATGGCCCAAAATTTCACCACCTAACATTATATCATTCTAGGGTATCAGAGTAAACCCAAAGCAGAATTGTCTAGAGCCTGTGTGGTCCATGCAATGGATATACCAGCGCCTGTCATACTTGGCCATCCATGCCCCCTTTCTGGTCAAGTGGGAGCCTAGTGATTATACTTATGTGAAGGGTAGGGTGAAAAGTTCTGGGTGTGGGAGGAAGCCAAGAAGTCCTGCATCCTACCTGGCCCTCCCATCTTACCCCCTGTGGGGGAACACCCCCACTGGGCTCTAATCTCAGGCTAGTGGAGTTTGAGTAAGAGGATCTCAGAAGTCAAGCAGAGACTTGATGCTGTCTGTTGCAACAGATTTTGACTGGGGCCTCTCGGCTTTTTGTGTCTCTGTAAGACATATAGTCACCTTCAGGTCAGGCTCTATCATAATGGGGCCCCCTGAGGTCATTGGGTCATTGACATGCATCATATCATAGGCTTGGTTAGAGGCAGGTCTGTTTTTCCATGTATGTTGGGGCCAGATCCCCTCTAGCCTTTCCAGGAACCCTGCAGGATGGAGTCACTTCACTGTGGCTGGCCTCCCTCACGCTTCCTAGGACCTTCCTAGGGTGAATTAGATGGTTCCTGTGCTCTGCTGACCCTTGCACCTGTACTATGGGCATTCTAAGCCAGTTTTCCTTGTCAACAACAGGCCCCAGTCTAGGCTGAGTGGCCAGAGTGTACATTTCTCTGACTTTCTATTGGGGGGAATCTTCCCATCTTCATGCCATTTAGGTTAGCACTGAATATCCTGGCTGGGAAGCATTGTATGGCCTTGTTGGCATTTCTGACCCTCTTCCTCCACGAAGAAAGTCAAGGATTCCAGTGCCATATGAGACCCACTCAGCAGTAGAAATAGAATTGGATGCTGTGGAGGTGAAGCAGCTACGCCATTTCTCCTTGGGCCATCCAGATCCCTGAGGAGCTGGGCTTTTAGCTTCCTCTGGGATCACTATTTTTCTTTGTTCTTTGTGTGTCTTCAGTTGTGTGTTCTGCACTGTTTTTGGATTAATTCTTAACCTCTGCCTGCTTTCCATAAAAATTATGTTTTCATGTCTTTGTGTCTGAGCATTTGGTGCCTTTTTTGAGCCTCTGGGAGACTTGCATTATCATCTGATTTCCTTGTCTCCCTGGAGCCTCTGGGTTGGGCCCAGAGCCATTGCTCCCACTGTGTATATTGAGCCACATTTGGAGTACACTGGAAACTTGGCATGTGTCTGAGCAAGGTGATGTTATCCCCTGCACATGGATGGCAGCCATAAGCCGGGGTACCTAAGCAGCACCCTAATTCCTTATGAGAAGATATTATTAGCCTGGAGACCAACTAGGACCTCCTGACACTCAGCCATTCATTCAAATATGGGTGGGGGTTGCAGATATAAGTCAGTAGTAGAGAGCTTGCCTAGCACATGTGTCCCTGGATTATATCCCCAGCTCTGCAAAACAACAACAATAAATGGTGGGAGGAGAAGGTCTCTGCTAGGCATTTATGACCTTGCTTTGCAAACTTCACCATGGAATGGGGAGACCTGAGAAAGGCAACAGTATGTAGGGTCCTGAGGGATGATAGCGAGTGGTTTGGGTGGGAGAGGGAAGAGAGCAGTGTGTCCAGGAGAAGAAATGGCAGTGGAAAGGCAGGTACATGCCTGAGTAGCTGGTCTCAGGAGCTGGGATGGCATGTTCCTGAGGGGGACTGCTCAGTTCTTGTCTTGACAAGAAGAGAGATGATGGTCAAGTTTGCCACATGCCTGACATCTGCTCAGTTATGCTTTCACTTGGTATAAGGGGAACTTGGGGCCTTAGTCCATCTGCTTTCAAGCCTCTCCTACAGTAGGGAGAGGGTCATCAGGGCCTGTGTCCTTGGCCCTCTTCAGACAGGGTGTGCCAAAGTCCTGGTTTCTTCAGGAGACATGGGCCAAAAGTCACCTTGCCTTTTCCTTTTCTCCTGTACCTGTTTCCTTTCATCCTTCCTTCCTGGGCCAGACAGCTTCCTCCCATGATCAGCCAAGAAGCCTGTATCCCATACTCAGGGACTAACCTGAGGTCATCCAGCCACTGCTGTTGTCCTGGGGTGAAGCCCTGGACTCTTCCGTGCTGCCTGGCTCTGAGGTACCTGGTGAAGCAAGACTGAGTATTCAGGTGCTGGGCTCACCTCAGGTTGGGGCCTGTGAGTAAGCACTTGCCTCACAGGCAGCAGCCCTAGAGAGGGAGGCTAGGTAGGCTATGGGCTGAAGCACCGAGTGGTGGAGCTGGTGTGGTATTTTATGAGCCTTTTCCTAGCTGTTTTATTCAGTGATGGTGGTGATGACACCTGCTTTCCTGAGCACTTGTACTGTCTCTAAAGGTGAACAGCCAGAGCCCAGCTTGTAACTCCTACTGTCTGTAGCCTCTGGGTCCCTCTGCTGTGTGCCAGCTGGGACCTTCTGTTTAAAGGGCAGGAGGCTGCATGGCCATAGAGGCCTCAGTCAGTGGTGGCAGAGCCAGCATTGAACCCTGCACTTCCTACTGCTAGGTCTACTGCCCGTCCACCATGGGCAACAGCTGTGCCAGTCACCTTCCTGAAGTGTCTCCATCACTGGTGATAGACTGCTGCATAAGCAGGGCCTAAAACCATGGTGACTTTCTTTTCCTTCTTCTCAACTGTAGGAAAAACCGAGGAGTCCTTGGAAAGCACAGAGGGCTTCCGGGCTGCAGAGCAAGGCATCCAGAAGCCTACTGTAGAAGCCCCAGCTTCTGTTTGTGTCTCTGTCAAGCCCCCAGTGTCTGTACCTGCTTTTTGGGATGGGAAGAAGAGATGTGACCCCCCGGGAGAGTCAGTGGCCTTCCCTCAAGGTCTGCCAACTGGCGCCGAAGAACAGCGCCAGTTCCTCACAGAGCAGTGTATCACCTCCTTTCACCTATGCCTGAGCCGCTTCCCCCAGCACTACAAGAGTCTCTACCGACTGGCCTTTCTCTACACGTACAGCAAGACCCACCGGGTGAGTGGGGCCCAGGATAGGGCTTGAACCTTCTTCCCAGGGCAGGCAGGTGTCCTTGAAGGTTGGGGGACAGACAGGTTGGAGCTTTGGGATAGGGCTTGGGTGGCTGGCATGGGAAGAATGGGAAGGAAAGCTGTAGAAACAGGGCCAGTCTAAAGAGTGGGCCAGCTTGCCCTGAGACAGCCCTTCAGTTGCATCTTGCAGAGACCTCCTTGCTATCACCCTACCCCTGGACTCATCTCTCGGGGCAGCTGCCAGAACCATCTTCACAGCCTCTGCTTTATGGGGAGTCGGGTATTGACAACCTCCTCCAGCTCTTTTTGGAAAGCAACAGCTGTACCACAGGCTTAAGTGCTCTTTGGGGCTTCCTAGCCACACCCCTTCTGCTGGTATTTAGCATTTGTGGAGGGACAGGAGTTATTTTTTTTCCTTTGTCACTCCTTACTCACTCAGGAGATGCTGGGGAGTCAGTATCCCTGGTTATGGCACTTGCCTCCTCATAGCTACATTCTAAGGAGGAGGAAGATTAAAAACATGCAAATGAGCAAGCAAAGCAAGTCCCACTGAAACTAACACTACAGAGAAAATAGCAGAGTGCACAGAGGATTGGGGGAGTTGCTGTGGCTCTATGAAGGTACCCTCTGTGCTAAGACCTATAGTGTGAGTAGGGAGCACCAGTGGACTGGTGGAAAGGAAAAGCATTCATCGGGGGCCAGCAGCCTGGGAAAGTGGCTATGGGTGTCAGAGACAGAGAGGTTTGGTGTGGGCAGGCAAGCAGGGCATCCTGTGGAGTCTGCTGTGAGACCTGCCTCACAATTCAGTCAGGTTCTCCTCTCAAAGGCTTCCTTCTTTCCCTTCTCCGCCCCCACCACCTTCTCTGTGGGATGTGGAAGAACCAGGAAGGGCAGTTGGCCAGAGAGGTGGACCCTGGCTTGGCACTGGTTACCTCACAGAATTATGTTTGAGGGACTAGGGGTCAGGGTCTAAGAAGGTATGTGCCTTTTCCCCATGGTGACTGACATGCTCATGTGGCTTGGCTAGTTTCCTTAGAGTACAGCAGGTGGAATTGGCCACGGCAGGCCTGGAGAGGGAGGAGATCATGTCTTCCTCAGGGGCTTGATCTTTGTGATGTGCGTGCCAGCAAACAACAGTAGGCTCTGGCTTCCCTGGCTGCCTCCAGCTGCTTGCTGCCTGTTGCTGCTGCTGGTGCCACACAGGAACCTGGTGCACTCACTGCCTGGCCTGCACTTGGCAGTAGACCTCACCTCTGTGCCCTTGGCTTTCTATACCAAACCAGCATGTGTTCTTACTGTTGAAGCAGTTTGCCAGCCAAAAATGCAGCTGATACATCACCCTTCCCCCATTACTTTGGGAACTTTCCCCCTTCCCTCTTTTGAGAGCAACAGAGCCCACTGCATGAACCCTCTTGAGTCTCAGTGGGAGGGATACAAGCAACCATCATTCATTCCTCCCCCACCTTCTCCATGTATTTGTGCAGCCCCAGCCAACTGTGGTCAGCTCTAAACAGGACTCAGAACTTTTTGGGGCTGAGCTCAGAGCCTTTCCCACACTAATGGAGGGTATCTTCTCCAGAACAATGCTGAAACAGAATTTAGGATACAAGATAGTAGGGATCTGCATGTATGGAAGGGAGGGGGAGGATTCCAGATTGGGTTGGAGGACAGTTGATCTGTGAAATAGGTTCCATGAAGCTGGGCATCAGCCTTTGCATCCTGCTAAAGGCTTTATTTGGAGACTGAGGAAGCTGATGTAAATGAAGTGCTTAGCACAAGTTCCAGACTGTGGTTATTATAACCTGTCCCCCTTGCTGTGTATTTAACAATAGCATGTTTCTTCATAAAATCCTGCCTGCATACTTGGCAGTGACATTTTCCTGTTACTGTCTTATGGTTCAGTGGCCAATAGGAGTGTCAGATGTCTGTGTCTTCAGAGGGACCCAGCAGGCAGAGCTTACCAGGGGCTGAGTGGTTGATTCCTGATCTCTCCAAGAATCAGGTGAGGGTCTGCTCATTTCAGAGCCTGCCTAGGCCTTTCAAAGAAATCACCTTTAGGGCACAGGGTGCTACTCATTTCACTATTGGCAGCAGGAATTTTTTTTTTTTTTTTTTTTTTTTTGGCAGTACTAGGGTTTGAACTCAGACCTTAGCTGGGCAGTTACTTTCCCACTTCTGCCATGCCTCCAGTCTTTTATTCACTGGTTATTTTTGAGATAGGATCTTGCTTTTTGCCCAGGCCAGCCTCCTCCCATTTTATGCTTCCTGCCACCATGCCCAGCTTTTTTCTGTTGAGATGGGGTCTCATGAACTTTTTTACCCCCAGCTGGCTTTGACCACAATCCTTGTGATTTCATCCTTCCAAGTAACAAGGATTATAGTTGTGAACCACTGGCGACAACCAGAACTTTGAGGAGCAGAAGAAAACCTGAGCTATGAGACTGGCTGCTCCTGGGTTCAGATCCCAAGTCTGTGCTGGGAATTCTTGGAGGTGCAGGACTCTTCTGTTAAATAGAATGATGATGATATGCATGTACAATCATTGCAATGACAAGGTGAGCCAATAGTCCCTCTTCCTTTCCAGTAAGGCACATTCCTCAGTGTCAGTGTCTCCATGGCCCCTTGCCCTTTACCAAGCCTTCTGAGCACTCTGCCTGGAGCTGAGTGCCAAGGACTGAGTCTGCCCCTGAGGGGTCCTTGATGCCTACCTGAGCCTGCCTCCCCACTCAAGATTAGCTTTGCTACACATGGGCTGTCCTGGTGCCCCCCAAAGCAGGCTTCCTGCAGCTTATACTGAGGGCCAAAGTGCTTGAGACTTCATGGCTCCAGAATACTTTCCACACCTTAGGTAGCGAGTATCATTTATGCTGACAGCTACGAATGCCCTAATTCTAGCTGCTGTATTACTCATATCTCCAGGATCACAGTCTTTGATAGGATTTTGAGCCCTGGACTACCAATCTTCATTTATAAAAACCTGGCTCCCTGAGCCCACACGGGCAGCTCAGAAGAAGAGAACACATGGGTTGGCTGGAGATAGAGCTTAGTGGTAGTGTGCGTGCCTAGCGTGCACAAGGTCTTGGGTCTGATGCCTAGCACTGACGAAAAAAAGGAGAGGGTCACATTACATCGGGACATCAGTATCATGAAGGCTCTGGCCTTCATTGATAGGGTCTGGCAAAAGGTGAGGTATGGTCACCTTTGCCCTCCTTTCCTAGAACGAAGCCCCTTCTGCTATAACTACTGCAAAGGGTCAAGGGCAAAGGAGCTAATAAACTGGACCCTGGAGCCAAATAGCCATGTTAAAGAGCACACTTGGAGATCTGACACTTCCCAGTTTCAAAATGTACTACAAATCTAGAGTAACAAAAACAGTGAAGAATCTGGGTATAATAGAGCATGCCTGTAAATCCCAACACTAAGGAGACCGGCCTGACTAGCTAGTGAGTTAGAGGTTATAAATGAGACCCCATCTCCAAAAAACTAACGATAGCTAGAGGTGTGACTCAAGTGGTAGTGTCTACCTAGCAAAAACACAAGGCCCTAAGTTCATACCCCAGTACTGAAAAAAAAAAAACCCAAGAAGCAGCAGCCAGACATGCTATCGCATACCTATAATCTTGGCACTCAGGAGGCTGAGGCAGGAAAATCAAGAGTTGAAGACTAGCCTGGGTTACCTACCCTGTCTCAAGAAAACAAAACCAACCAAACAAAAACCCACAGTGTAGAATATTATTCAGCCTTTAAAAGGAAGGAAATCTGTCACATGCAACCTTATGGTTTTCTTGGAGGACAGAGTACTAAAATAAGCCAGACACTGATTTATATGAGGTATTGGGGGCAGCCTAGCTGCATTAGCCCAATCATATCCTGCTTCTGTATGGAATAGACCCGCTTTCCAGATTTGGTTGGTGGCTGTTATGAGGTCCAATGGTGTTGTACATTTGTTGTGGCATCTCCAGGGAAGCTGCTGACCTTCAACTTCAGAATGAGCTTGTGCACTGGTGTGACCCTGGGAGAGGGACTAGCCAGCCAGCTGTATGGGTGCAGTATTTTACCTCTCTGTGCCAGTGGCTCTCATAGGAGACCTGTGGAAGAAGGTGCTGTGCAGGGTAAATGAGAGAACCTCTGACGAGGTTCTTGTGCCATCGGACTCAGATGGGTGTGAGGGGTGATCTGCTAAGCTGTGAAGCAGAGGCTGAGACCCTGCTTTGAACTGGAAATTGAGCATCCCAGAGAAGGTAGCAAGACTTCTCGTTCTATACTGCTTGAGCCTTGACCATGCCAGATAATGGGACCAAATGTTGCAAGAGTATGCTAGCCATAGAGAAGGGCAGTCCCACCTTTCTTCAAACTGCTCCCTTTTTGTGCTCCCACAACAAAATGATGCTGTGCCGAGTGTTCCTACACAGAAATCCTGGCCTGCTACAGACCTAACTAGCAGGTTCTTATTATTGCAGAATGAAAGCTTAATATTTCATTTAGCTTGGGAGTCTTGATTATGCATTCATTCTCTCTGTCACCTGGTTTCAAGATTCTGCTAGGACTTTGGGGGCCAGAGAAGGTGAAATAGGTTCCTTCATGAAGGCTATTGCTTTCCTGGTCCTCTTTCCCACAAAGGGATGCAGAAATGAGCAGTTTGAATAAGTCTGAATGCTGTACCAGTAGCACTGGCTACAAATAAGATTAAGTTTGGAAAATAGAATGAAACTATATACTACCCATAACATGGCGGAATTGTTTGTGTTTTATCTTGCTTCTTCTGGCATGTTTTCTGTGCATCTTTGCGGGTTTATTTATTCACCAACTCTCTACTGAGCATATGTCACATGGGAAACCCTCTTTGAGGCACTGGATATACAATACAACCCTTGAGTGTGTACATGGAAGAGAGTAGAGTGAAAAAGCACACCTATTAGCATCTAGTGATGAGTCTAAGAAGCAAAATAATCTGGGTAAGGGGTCAGAAGAGGCATAATGGCTGTT